CTTCATCCATTTTGTTAGGGATTTCTGAAAGAATATTTAGAACTGTGTAGTGGCTATGTTGTGGTGTGTTTTCTTGTCTCTAGATGGGAGGATGCAGCTCAGTTTCTGTTTTCAAGATGCTGGATGCCATCCCCTGTTCCATACAGGGATTGGAGGTTTAGCTGCTAAAGCTATCAAAGTTGCTGAGCAGCAGCCTTGAAAATACACCAATCTCCAAAAAAGATCAATAACTGCAACTATTCCAGTGTCTTTAGATGTTCATTGGAGCAAAGATGAATCTTTGTGATCCTGGAAGACTGAAGATAACAAGTATAGTAATTGGAGGGAGAAGAAGAGAGATAAACAATTGCCAGAAATTTTTTCATAAGTTTTCCATATTTTTGGATCTATCTATAATGATAAGTGTTGCATTAATGTTTTCTCAAAAGATCATATTAATAATAGGTTTTCCTGTGCCTTTGAGTTGTTCTGCCCAGATATTTTAGTTCTCACTCCAAAACTGTGCAGCAGTTACAGGTTCTAGGTTTCATGTTGTTCAACCTTTACACATAAACAGTTCTGAAGACCTATATTTGAACTTCTGTATAGTCCATGATTGCTTTCTCCTACTTATTTACATAATTATCCTTATTAGTTCTCAAACCTCACTTGTTTTGATTTTTGTTAAATTTTACTTTTCTTCTCTACAATTTTAGAAATTTATTTAATTCTATACTTTTGTGTATTCAGAGTTTGGGGGCAATGAATATTTCTTTTTATGCTCAAACTTCAACCCTTCCTGGAAAACCTCCAAGTAATACCTTGATATGACCTTATAAAACCTTAAAGTATACTAACATTTTTATTATAGCATAATCTTATGGGATTATATAGTATTTCCCAGAGCCATACATTTCTAATAGGAGAATAACATTTATAATTTCTATCAATGCCATAATTGACAATTTACCAATGTATATTTCATGACTACCACCAATGGTATAAGGTTTAGATTGATAAAAATTCACAAAACTAATAATGTTTTGATTCAGCTATATTTAGTCAGGGCTATGGAATGAGGAGGGCATAAAATCCAGCATAAAAGACATCTTCAGACTTGTTAAGGGTTCTACAGAGACCCAACTGTAGCTTCTTAGCTGCTCCACATTTTCATTCATGGGACTTTGTCTGGTTACAGAAATTAGACCAACAATTGTGCCTGATTGGGGCATCACATAAACTTTGTTGGCATCTCTTTGGAGCCAAATTATACAACAGGCTAGAACTGAAAATAAGATATTGCTATTAAAAATACCTGACAATCAGTTCCTTAGATCATTTAAACTCAGTTATTAAAATCCATTAAAATCTGTTGATATGCATTTTATCACTTTGTTAACAGTGAAGTGGAAAGAGTTTACACTTCCTGGGGAATAAAACACAATGCCCCTGGAATTCTGGTTATAAAAGGTATTTATTCTGGACTCAAAAAACACAGCAGTTCATATTTTGGAAAAGATCATTCTTTAAAGCAATACAAAATCCCTGTAATTTGTAACTCAAGAAGTAATAACTGGGGGCTCCAGTATCCAGTTGCTGCTTGATTGGAAGATAAGAGTAGGGAAGATGTTATGTAAAAACTGCAGCTGAAGGGTTGAAAATTGGCATAAGAGAGTACATACAACAGTTCAGTAGCCAAACCAGGATGCAGAAAATCTAGTCCTCCTGCAAGGTTTGTAATGGTCCAGAGGTTCACATGTTGAATTGTGATGCCTTCTTGCTTATTTTTTCACTTTCCCTACATTTCATCTTCTCTTTGCTATGCTCATCACCCCATCACTTTTTCTCCTCTCTCTCTGGTAGCACAAGACCCTCAGTTCTTATTATTCCTCTTTCTGAATGCTTATCCAGTTTATACCTCTCTGAGGGGTACAGTGATTGGTAAATTCTTTGTTATCAGTCAAACTCAAATGTTTATAAATTCTGGTGGTGAATCTCCTCCATTTACCACCATCTTATTATCATTTTTAACACTTATTCAATGTCTCTTTCAAAAATCTCTCAAATCACCCTTGATGAATTCTGTGTTTTGTTTGTGTTTTAATTAAGTTTATTTAATGGATAAATAAAAGTATAAATTTTGTACATGCTAATGGGCAACTCTGTTATATTTTGATGCATGTACACATTGTGCAATGTTTAAATTACATTAAACATATCTATCTCCTCAATTGTTTATCATTTTTTATGGTGAAATTATGTTTGAAATCCTTTCTTCTAGCATTTTTAATTGAATGCTTTATTATTGTTATTTATATTTACTGGAAAGGGGACTATCACACCAAAACTTCTCACACTCATCTATTTCTTAATGCCCATTGATCCAACTTTCCCTGTCCCTTCCTTCTCCACACTTTCTCCACCCACTGGTAACCACCATTCCACTAGTGACTTCTCTGAGATCAACTTTTTTAGATTTCACTTATGGTCAGATCTGCTATATTTGTCTTTTTGAAAACTTTGGATAGGGGTAAAAGAGAAATTGTTCTAGTTATTGGGGCTCAAGAGTGACTTCAAAATGGTAAAGTGCTAAAAAATAAAGTATGCTCAAAGAAATAATAATAAAACTTCCTATGCCTGGATACAAATGGTGCAGAAAGGTCAAAGGTCATCAGTCAGATTTAACTCAACCAACACTACCCCAAGACATATTATCACAAAACTCTCAAAGATAAAAGATAAAGAGAAGACTCTCAAGGAAAAAAAGAGAAAAGAAACAACAATAATTGGTTGTATTAAAAAGTGAGATCCTGTGAAGATATCTTAAATGAACAAAAATGTCACTTAAATTTTTTTCCTTTTATAAAATTGGACAACAGGATGGCAGAACAGGTCCTGCGTGGGGTGGAGGGTTGGTACCAGTTGGGGTAGGAAAAGGACGTGGGAAGAGATAGACTCTAAAACTACTCTAACATAGTTATGTTTCATGACACACCATTTTCATCCAGACTTGAAATCAACAAGAAGAGAATTAAATTGAGCCCTACACCAAACAGACATAACAGACATATGAATACCATTCTATTCAAACACTGGAGTTTGCTCATTCTTCTCAATGGCACATGGGATATCTGCAGAACAAATTATATAGTAAGCCAAAAATTAAGTCTCAAAAATTTTAAAGAAATTGAAATCATACAGATAGATGATAGGCAGATAGATATGCAAACTTATACACCAAATATCTTCACTCCAATTTCATAAAACAAACACTACAGGACATAAAGGCACAGATAAACTATAACATAATCACAGTGTGTGATTTCAATGATGACTATGTCTCTACAACTGGAAATATTTCTTCTCAAACTGTGATGTTCAGAATGAATCAGAGTTGAGACTAATACCTCATCAAATAGCACAATTTATGAAAGCTTAGTGTATATCAGAAACTGTTCTATAGGCTTTTGGGCTGAGGATTAGAACAATTTATTACCTGAGGCATGTTTGTGGAAAGGTCTTTGCTACATTTTTGAAAAATATGGAAATTGAAATTTAAAGATATTTATTAGCCTCTCAAAGTCTAGTCAGTAGAAATTGAAAAACAAGATTGAAGCCTTTGGACTCACTGAATCCAAAATTTCTGAAATGTTTCTCCTAATTTCTCCTATTAACTTTTGCTTCTTCCATATTGGGTTTTATTTTTTAATTATCTTGACTCATTTTTAAATATGTGCTTCTCATATTTCCCTGGCCAGAACATACATTCTCAGTGCTCTTACGTTTGAACAGTGTCATACTCAACTTTCCCTGCCTCTCATTAAATACAAGTGTTGACTAATAAAATTAATGTCTCAAAAATCAGTGTATGAGAAGTATGATATATTGTAAGAACTTTCATAAATGTCACAATGTACCCCCAGTATGGCAATAAAAAAATTTAAGTTATAGAAGGTAGGCTAGTAGTTTTTGAGGGCCAGGAATGAGAACTAGGGACTAGGGACTGACTGGGAAGGTATGCAAGGCAAACACTGTAGTGATGGAAATGTTTTGTGTAGATTATAATGATGGTTACCTGTGCATATTAAATACATTTGATTTGCTAAAATTATCAAATTGCACACCTAAAATATATCACATTGATCACTTAAATATATTACATTGATCATATGCAATTTACACTTCAAAAGATTAATTTTTAAAAGAAAAATAGAGATGGATTGAAAATTATAAACATCAGAAATATGCTGAAAATATGCATTAAAATGTGAATTGTGGTAGTCACTGCATGGTAAGAAATCAGAATGTTTTCCTTTATTCTTTCCCTCATGTGAAATTCCAAAGTTAAACATTTATTTAACGAACAAAAATCAGGGAAGGAGTGAGTAAATAACTAATATATTGAATACATAAGTATCTTAATGCTTTTGCCTCTTAATCAGTAAAATGACAATTGTAATTTTTAGATCCATTTTACATGGAGATTCCAAACTAATGATGCAGAAAAAGATTGAACTGTTAGATACTTGTGGATCTATTTTAGGTATTAAAAACAATCAAAATCAGGAGATTTCAAAAACTATCTAAAAGCTGTTGTGTTTTAAAATATTAGAAAATAACGAAAACTGTGTCCATGTTTTTCCATGACAATAGTGTTATTGTTCTGATTCAAATTTGTCATTAATGGAGAAGAAACATTGTCTCAGGCTACTCCCATTTTCTCTTTTTACACACAATGTGTGGCTTGACATCAGGCCTACATTCCTCACTTTATTGGTTTTCTTCTTTCAATAACAGAAGAGTCTATAAATATTATGGAAAACATGAACACTGGAAGGGTGGGTTTGTTACCTTTCCAATCCTGTATTCCCTACTTTAGCTGATTTTCCTCAAAAAAATTTCATAATTTATACTTGCAAAGACCTCAGAAAATCTGCATATTTCAATAACTTAATATCATTTTACTCAAAACTTTTATGAATTTTTTCCACTAAAACCAAGCAATCTATTTGTTTTATAACTCATGTCTTTGAAGTAAAGCTAGACTTTTCTCCAAGAAAAAGTTTGATTACACTTTCTTGAATTTGCTTGGTCTTGACTCCATAAACAATTGGGTTCATGGTAGGAGGCAGTAACAGATAAAGATTAGCCACAATGATGTGTATGTGGTGGGGAATATTCTTTCCTCCAAAACGATGTGTGAAGAAAGTGAATAAAGCTGGAATATAAGTGATTACAATAGCACAGATGTGAGATGTGCAGGTGCTGAAGGCTTTGTGACGAGCATCTGATGAAGACAGGCTCACTACAGTCTTCAAGATCATAGTGTAAGACACAGAGATACAGCAGATGTCAAACACACAAACTAGGAGAGCAACCAACAGACCATAGATGGCATTGACCTTGACATCACCACAGGATACCTTGGCCACAGACATGTGGTCACAGTAGGTGTGGGGGATGATGTTTCCATGGCAATAGGGCAGACGCTTGGTGAGGAAAGTGAATGGAATAATGAGCATCACACTCCTCAAGAAGGTGACAAGACCAGCCCTGGCAATCACAGGGTTGGTGAGGATGGTGGGGTAGCGTAAGGGGTAGCAGATGGCCACGTAGCGGTCCAGGGCCATGAGCATGAGCACGCCAGACTCTGTTGCAGAGAAGGTGTGCACAAAAAACATCTGTGCCAGGCAGGCGTTAAAGTCAATCTCCTTGAGGTTGAACCAGAATATGCACAGCACATTGGGTACAGTGGTGGTGCACATACAGGTATCAGTTAATGAGAGCAGGGCCAAGAAGTAGTACATGGGCTGACGGAGGACCTCCTCATGACCAATGAGGTGAATGAGCCCAATATTCCCCACAAGAGCAATGATGTACATGAAAAAGAATGGGAGGGAAATCCAGATGTGTGCAGCTTCCAGCCCAGGGACACCATTCAAAATAAAGAATCCTGGGGTAAGGCTAGAATTGTTGCCTCCAACCATAATGACTAACAGGAAGGGAAATTTTCACTCTTTAATAGAAATTGATTTCTGCACAGAAGAGGAAGAAACAGGGTTACGGACCATATAAACAGGACTTTTTTTTTTTTTGACGTTATCAGTCAGAAATGGTATGCTTCACCTTATTTTGATAACCCTGGTTATTCTTCTAACTCTAACAAGTGAGAGCTTGGACTAAGATGTCTTAAAATCATTTGACAGCACAGTTGTACACTCTCAATATCCTGTTACAATCTTTGTGTAAACAATTATCTTCCCTTTCCACACCTCACCCCAGCACCTCTTATTCCCACATCACAAACATTCAGTTATATTGAAAATATCAATTTCTTTATAATTTGTAATGTTTATTCTCTCTTCTCAGATTCTTCCATAAGCATATTTACATTAAAATCACAGGTATCTATTTATAGGATCACCTTATTTGACCAGTTCTTATCAGCAGTTTAATTTTCCAGTTTTAACAGCTTTCAAAAATTAATTCTTTTTGAAAATTATGATGAAATATTATATTTATTTATTTCATAAATGTTTTTACTAGTATATCACAGTTATAATAGGGAATTCCTTATGACATTTCCTTATATACATATGTTGTACTCCAGTTTGGTTCTTTTCCTCCATTATTCTCCCTCTTCCCTGACTCACCTTCTTCAAATGACTTCAACAGGTTTCTGTGTCTCATATTCATACAAAAAATGAAGTATAATCTTCACAAAAGATTATACTTATATATAATATTCATCAGTAGGGACTCTATATCTTGTTCAATATAATTCACCGTAGATTCTCAATAAAATATGCTCTATGAGATTGAATAAATATTTGTGTTAATAAGGGTTTAATATGTCTAGTAATCAAACCCATTTAATGTCATCATATTTTTGCACACTGATTATTTAAAGAAAGTTCTTGAGAAACAATACTTTTTACATTTCTAAACCATTAGTAAATTGCATTTATTCTTGGTAATTATGTTATTAAAGAGTGAAATTCAATTATATACAAATCCTTTCATTTTGCCTTCTCTATTGTTTTAATTTTAAAAATAATTTGGTTCCTTATTCATCCTCAATAGTTGCTTTATACTTAGGAATCCTTTGGAGTTTTAAGGATTACTGACATTCTCCCTACCTCTTTTTTATTACTGGGCAAACATTCATTACAAAAATACTCTCATATTTTGGTATTATTATTTTTGTATGTCCACAGAAAGAATAAATGCTTTTTGGAGGATTATAGATGTATGGGTGTTTAATGAAAGTTGAAATTCCTTAATGATTGAAATATTATTTGTACTTGAGTAAAAGAAAAAAAAACTCCTTAAATTCTAGGGCTGATTCATACATTCCTTAGTTCCAGCAGCACTAAGTATCTATTTTCAGTATGATATTATGGATTACACACATGTGAAGCCACAAATTATAGATTTCTGTGACCTAAACATTCTGGAAATCAATGCTGGTAACCTCTACTACTGCCTCGAGCACACAGAAATCATCAAGGAAGGCGAGAAATAGAAAAGTTCTTCAAGTTCTCATGAATGTGGGTCCTCGCTGACCTGTTCTCAGGTAAAAGATCCGCTCTAACAAGGGAACTGTCACAATACCTCTATAGAAATGTCATCATTTCATAGACATAAACTAGGAAAATGTAACTGAAATTTCCAGCTATGCACTCGTTTATGTGGACACCACAATGTGCATACCTCAGCAAAATGAGGAAGATGAAGGTCTTGTGGACCTGTCCTAAAAACAAAGAGTCATTACCTTTCAAGACGTGAAATGAAAAAAGAGATACATAACTTCTTGTTATTATTGGCTTTTGTTAACTATCCCCATATTTCAAGTTGGTGCATTTTTAGCCAACAGCCTTTCATTTTTCCAAAATTCACCTCAGTGTTATTCACAATCATATTCCTATGCATGGCTGAGAATCCTCAGGGTTTTTTTTAGTGTTAAAAGGACATAGTCTTATATAAAATTTTTAGTTCCCTGAGGAATATATAGTAAGAATTTCCAAAGCTGATTGAGTCTCCAGAGTTAAGTGTCTAACTAAGCTATGTTTCAAAGAGAGTGACCTGGTGGTAGTAAATCTATATTTAGCATAATTTGATGAGAAAAAATACACAAAACCAGAAACACATTAAAGTAGAATACTTTTCCCCAAAGAAAAATGTCACCACCAAGTCTTGTGGTGATAAACATCTTTTTTGTTTTAAAAAACATTTTTTCTCATATTTCAAAAGAAATATATCCTGAATACAGAAAATCTGGAAACTGTGGAAATATTTAATGAAGAGTTTTGAAAATTACTTGCAATCCTAACACAGAGGAAAAACCACTCTAAACATTATCTTTATTCACACCATAGTGTCATAATTGTTATGCATTATTTCTTGAGGAGTTTAGAAAAATAAATTTCAGATTATAAGGAACTGCACATAAAAAGTATTTTTTTCCTTTGATTTTTAAAACAAAGTCTCACTATGTGTATAGCCTCAGGCTGGCCTCAAGTTCCCTATCTCCCTGCCAGTGTCTCCTCTTGCTCTGATTACAAGTATACGCCACCATGCCAGACTCTTCTCTAAACAATATTATCTTCTCAACATTTTCTTCTGCAGTTATCAATGCTTTGAATTAAGAAAATTAGTAGCTAAACCTTTCCATTTAACAGCCACACAAAATTTAAATTATTCTTGATTATTTGTTTCTATTTTTCATCAAAAATAATTCTCTGTATATCCTACTTCACACCCTTTGCATTACAGATATTTTTTATCTCTACAGATAAGTACATACACTATTGAAGTTCAAGGTATAAAGAGCCATGGGAAGTTTTAATAGTGTTAGTAAATTGTTGAAAAAAATCTCAATAAAATATGTATTGATTTAAAAAAAAGTAAGTGTTCTGGACTCTTGTTAGTATTATATGCTCTGTTTTTCTCAGTTACGCTAATGTGGCTACTATTTATTGGTATTTTAAATTAAATTAAATTTTTTTTCAGTAGTAATTATGAACACTTTAAAGTTGTTTTGGTCAGTTGTTTTTCTTCTATATGTATGATTCATCCACTTCCATTTCTATCTTCAGTGAAGGTGTTGGTGTTTATGTACTGATTGTGAGCATTTTTAATATGAACATATGAACCTGTTTTCTATTGTAGTTTACATCTTGTGAGGTAGTATTTTGCTTTAAAGTTTATCTATTGGTGGAAAGAGTTTGTATTTTTGACCTTATCTCCCATTTATTGAGAGAAAACTTCATGAAGTACAATGTCTCTATACTTATACACTTCTATGCAGTAAACACTAAAACCTCATGTTTCTAAAAAAAACTCATGTTTTACCTTATCTCTTTTCAGAAGTAAACATGACTAAAAATACTACTAAAATCCCATGTACAGCCACAAATTTATTTTGTAAACATTTTAAATTTTGAGGGGGATGCTTTTAGCATTAGCTGTATCACCAGTGACTATTTGGAAAGAACTTATTTTATTTAAATGAAAAATATTTTTCTTTAGTAAAAATAAAATGAAATACCCTAAAAATAATTTTGACAAAATGTAAACCAATGCAACTATTATTGCATTGGTTTATTAAACCAATGTTATAAAAACCATAAAAGTCTTGGTGTAAATCCTTTTTCTTTTAGATCTACAAATTTAGGGAAATGAAACTTGACATCAAACATTGGTTAAATATATAGCAAGGGTCTTAAACTGGAGACCATGACCCCCAATCTGGCTGTACTCAGCTACATCAAGACTCCTAGGCAGTTTTATAAAATTTTATAGGATGCAATATAATCTATCAATTCTGATCATAAGTTTGATTTATGCATTAACTTAATTCTGCATTAAGCTTGGTTTAAGCATTGACAGAACTGATTCATTCCTTTTTTCACACTTCTTATAAAACTTACTGTCTGAACCAATTTTAAGCATGCAGTTCAGTAGTATTACATATATTCATAATATTGTACAACCAACACAACTGTCCATATTAAGAATGCTTTTGAGATTGTAAAACTGAAACTCTATATCTTTTATCTCATACAAAAGATATATCACATCATATATATCATATAAAGATATATCTTTTATATATCCCATTTTCTCACCCCTTCCACCAGACTCTGGCCACCACCATTCAACTTTCTTTGACTGTAGTTTGACAGTCAAACCACATGTAGAATATTGCAAAATTTGTGAGTAACTGCCTTATTTTATTTAGCACAATATCCTCAAGTTTCATCTATGTAGGAGTATATGTCATCATTTCCATCTTTGTAAAGTGTGAATAATATTCTATTATATGTATATACAACATTTGGCTTATTTATTCAACTATTGATGGTCCGTTAAATTGCATCCTACTTTTAATTACTGTGAATAATGCTGTGATGAGCCTGGATATCTGAATGTGTTTTTGAAACTCCATTTTCAATTCTCTTAGGTAAGTACCAAAGTAGGATTTGTGAATAATATAGTAATTTAATTTTTAAATTTTGAAGGAACCCACCATGTTATTTTCCATAGTGTCTGTAACATATCCACCAAGAGTATATAAGGATCTGCACAATTACTTTCTTTCTTTTTCTTTGACACTACCCATCTTAATGGATGCAAGGTAACATATTGTCATGATTTTGATCTATATTTCCCAAGTGATTACCAATGTTGAGCACCTTTTCATGTCCTCATTAACATTTACATATTTTCTTCAGAGAAATTGCTGCTCAGGTTCTTTGCCCATTTTCAAAACAGTTTATTTTCATTTTGTTATTGATGTTTTAGGAGTTTCATATATTCTGTATATTAATCTCTTATTAGATGATGATGTGAAAATATTTTGTGCCATTTTGTCAGTTTCATTTTTCTTCATTGCTAGTTTATTTCAATGAGTGATGTTTCAAATTTTACTTGAAATTCAATTTACCCATCTTCTCTTCTGTTGCCTATGCCTTTACTGTCATAT